CAAAAACGAGGATCTCCATAAGACCGTTGTGAACGACTTGCATCAAGCCTATCGATTTGTGTGTGTTGATGAAACTCAAGGTTTCTGCAAAAAAGAAGAAACGTATTATTTGGTGTCGATGAATGCGGATGAGAAGAAACCGTTGAATCACTACTATGTAGCTACTTTCGCGAGATATGTTGGAACTGTTTATGTGGAAGACTTTTCATTGCCAGCCTTACCAACTTCGATGATTGGAATGATCTTCACTCGTTTGTTTTTCATCGGTGTTCAACATTTTTAATGTGTGATGTACTAACAGTATAGCATCAGAAGAAGACATTGTTAAATTGACTGATTCCGAACAATTCTGCGGTCACTACATGTTCCCATATTGCATATTGGATAAACACTTGCCATTTTGGGGTGGATACGTCGGTTCACACTTTGAAATCCAGTGGAAAGACCAGAGCTATGCAAAAAACAAGGCTAATTATCCACAGTTTGATTACTCATTCCTTGAGGATTCAACGTTCGTTCAGAATTTGGAATCTCTCGATATGAACGCAGGTGTTCCATTCCTCAACGAAAGAATTTAATGATTTGACCAATTTTGCTTTTGGGTTTTATTATAAAGTGCGACTCATTTCTTGTTGTGTACTTGATACGATTTTTGAGAATCAATTTCTTTCCACTTTTTGTTTAAAGTTGCTCTTTATCAATTATTTCTTTCTGCAACTATTGTCAATTACTCATTTTGTAAATCCTGAAATAAAATAATATGTTTATTATTATAACAACTAAAAAATTTATAATTGTTTTGATTATTTTATTGCACATTTATTGTCTATTTTGAATAACAAAAAATAAAGATTTTTTCAGACAACGAAAAAAAAAAAAAAATTAAATCTATAAAGTTATATAAAAATTAATTAAATCTTTTATAAAAATAGTAAAAATAAATAAGTATAAAATTTTACACTCAAAAAAAACAATTAATAATAAATAATATAACTATAGAATTTAGATCATTACATTACTTGAAGAATTCACAATAATTTTTTTGTTTTTTTTAAGATAATGATAATCTATTCTGTATAGTAAAATATTAATATATTAATAGCATTAACAATTGGTGAAAACGAATAGTTGTTAAAAGCTTTTAAAAAAGGGTAAGAACAAAAAGTTTCTTTCCACTTCTAAATATCTAGAAGAAAAAAACAATAAATATTTTTATTTATTGGAAAAATTTCTAAAAACAAAGAAAATAGAAACTACAAAAAGACAAGCGCCTTTTTCGTAATGTCGAACAAAGAAGAGCGAAACGACGCAAACATCGTCATGTTTGGGCTCCCAAAAGTCGGCAAGACGACGGTGATCAAAGATATTGTCGACAAATCGTTTGTCGAGGACTATTTAAAAACAGACCAAGACATCCCAATCTCCACACAAATAAAAATTCAGGACGCAGAGTTTAACGTGAAATTTTTCGACACAAATGGAGAGGCGTTAACAAGCAAAAGCTTGACTGTGGCGACGTACACTTCAAATGGTACAATCCATTTTTTTGTGATGTCGAGCAAAAGCACAGACATCGAAGCAAACAACCAAATTAAAATGGTCCAAATCATGACAGATACGCCAGGGTATAAAGACCAACCACTTGACTTAATGGTTATTATCGTCACTAAAACGGATTTGGGGCATGACTTGGATATTCAACAGGCACAAAAACTCGCTCAGGATAAAGGTGCGTTGTTTTTCGAATTGGACCTCCACGACGTTAAAGCCACAAACGATGTCATGACCCAGATACTTACACGTTTTGCAGAAATCAAAGGAATTTCTCTCATAAAAAAGCCACAAAAAAAGAAGCTTTGTTTGATTCTTTAATTTTAATGTTACGTTGTGTTAAAAATGTGTGTTATTAAATCTGCAAATCGTCAGAACTATGACTTAAACAGTTCAGAACTTTTAAAATTTTTATGTTGTACACAATTGTTATTGGTGTAAAACAGTTATATTTGTTTTTTTTATTGTATTATATTTTATTATTTATTTTAATACTATGTTTTTTTATCTTTAACAAAATATCCATATTATTACAATATTATTCATTATGGTTCAAACAATTGTTACCCTTTTTATATAGTTAAAATATAATTTTTTAAATAATACAATCTTTTTTCCATTTGTCTGTTTGTCCGAAAATACAACTATTTTTCATTATAATTTTTTTTAAAAACAATGAAATATACATTTTTAATTATTTTAACTAAAAATATCTATTAACAAATTAATTAATATCAATAAGATAAATTAATTATTTATAATAAACTATTAAATATAACTAAAATATTGAATTTTTTATTATTA